CCTCATCTCCAACTTCCCATTTTAGAAATATTATTTTTTTTTTTTTCTTTTTTTTTTTTTTTTTTTTTTTTTGGTTTTTTTGAGACAGGGTCTCACTATGTAGTTGAGATTGATCTGGCGCTCACTATGTAGCCCAGGCTGGTCTCGAACTCACAGTGATCCTCCTGCCTCAGCCTCAGCCTCCCTAGTGCTGGGATTACAGGCATGCGTCACCATGCCCGGCTTTACTACGATTTTCTGTAGATGTATTCACATCATTATGACTGTGTAAATGTGCTTTCTAGCTGAGCTGTGTCATAGTCTATGATTTCTTTTCTTGCACAAGTGTTTGCTTTACCTGGAAGTTAATAATTATCTTGTTTGTTTTTACAGTGTTCTGTATACCTAGCCTCATTTGTTTTGAGGCTCTCTCCAAGTTATATGAGCTTTCTTTTGGTATGTTCAGTTGTGTCAGCCTTTTTTGCTGTCACAGAGCCTTCTGTCTGCTGTGGTATGGACACATTGCCCTCTACACTTTCATCCTGGGATCTTTTGTTTTTTTTCTCCTTTGGGACCCTCTTTGGTTTTCAAATTGGATATCATCATCTTTCTTGGATTATTGCCTTGTTTTAGGAAAGCACATCTTCTGATAAACTCATGAAATAAAGTCCATGAGACTTTACTATTTTGTTTTTTTTTTGACACAGGTGCTCATGTAGTTCAGTATGTAGCCCAGGCTGGCCTTGAACTCACTATGTAGCCCAGGTTGGCCTTGAACTCAAGGTTATATACCTTCCTGAGCCTCCAAGTGCTGGGATTACAGTTATACGCTACCACGCTTGGCAGTCAGACTGCATTTTTGAGACTGTCTGAAAATGTATTAATTAAATGTAGTTTATAGTTTAGTTGGGTGCACAAGTATTAAATTGGAAGTCATTTCCCACTAGAATTCTGAAAGCTTAGCTCTGTTGTTTTACCACTTGTTGAAAAGTCAGATGGCATTCTGATTTATTTGTCTGAAATGTGTTCTTTCTTAAATTGGGGTTCCAATTTTCTGTATTCTGTCACTTTCCCATCACGGGGACAAAATATCCAATATCCATAATTTAAGGGAGAGGTTTATTTTAGCTTATAGTTTCAGAGGTGTCTCAGTCCATGAATACATGGTTGGTTGGCTCCCATGTAGAATCTGCATGGCAGAGCAAAACTGCTCAACCCATGGCAATTCGGAATCATAGAGAGGAGGGAGGAGATGGGGGCAAGAATACTTTATCTTCCTGGGTCGTGCCTCTGTGGACCCACCTCCCAACAGTGCACTCAGCCACGGACTCATCACTGGATTAATCTACTGATGAGTGTAGTGTCCCTATGGTCCAGTCATCTTCCAAAAGCCCTACCTCTGAACATGTGAGACTTGGGGGGGACAGTTTAACTCCAGACCATAACATCCTGTAGCTCTGGTAGAGTGCTTGCTTTTGTTTTTCTGATTCAGATATTTGATCTTTTCAACTTATCCTTTTTTTTTCCTTTCAGTTTTTCATCTCTTTACTGAATCTTCTAGGAAATTTTCTTAGTTTTAAAAGTCCTACTTAATTTTTTATATTGTTTGTCAGTCTTCTGAGAGGCATTTTGTTTTTTGGCTGTGTGTGTCTGTACATTGGTGGGGTGGGGGATATAAAAGAAATAAAGAGATTTTTTTCTGAGGAATTTTTAAAAGGCTCTTCTCTGAGTTACTTCTTCAGTTTGTTTGACACTTGTTTGTAGAAAGTTGGCCCCCTCAAATATCTGGTGATTCCAACACTTCGATCTTCCACTGGAAATTCTGCATACCCAAGGGAGACATTTTCTGTGGGCTTTGGGTGGGGTGATCTGGTTGGGCTATTCTGTTGGGAAATCTATGATGTCTGCATTTTTAGGTCTCGTCTCATTTGGGAGAGAAAGTATAATCAGTCTGCTGGTGTTCTGGAGCTGGACTGGGAAACTCAGCATTTAGAATGTAGATGTCACTTCCTGTTTTTAGTACAGTACAGTTGCCATGTTAGAAGCCTTTTTCTCTTTTTGCTGAAAGGTATATTGTGTGGATGAAGGATGAAGTCAGAATGAAGGAAGTGATCTGACATCTAACTACTTTGAATACAGGCTTTAAAGGGTCCTCCTATTTTTATACCCATCTTCACTTATATTTACAGAAGTATCAGGTATCATGAATCCCTAAGACTTTTGGGGGTAATATGGAGAAAATTGGGCATCTTACAGGCTTTTCCTCAGTTAACTTAGATTCACCTTTCCTTGGTCAGCTAATTCAGTTATGATTTGTACATCTGCTTTCCAGCTACAAACATTTCTCTCTTCTTTTACCTACAGTTTATGTGATTTATTGATTGATTGATTGATTGATCGATTGATTTATGTGATTTTATTTATTTTTTTCAAATCCCTTAGTGGCAGTTTTAGTGAAATTTAGAGTAGGATCAGAGGGCTGTGGTGAGCCTCACCTTTAACCAGGAATCACAAGCATGAAATTTGCTTCAGTGTACTGAATTACTACCCAGAACTGATTTTTGTTTTGTCAGTTTTTTGTTTATTTTTAAAATACTTGCTTTGCTTTCCCAGGTGCCGACCTTTACAGTTTCAGCCGTCGAAATCTCACAAGAAAGTTTTAAAAAAAGTGTTGAAATTTCTGGCTAAAGGGGAGATTCTCAGAAGAAATTGTGAGGGTAAGTTGAGATTGGGTCTAAAACGTATTTACTTTAGATGGATGTATTTTTTTGAAGATTCTTACTTTCAAAAATCTCATGTTAGGTCTGGGTGTTTAGCTCAGTGGTTCCACCGCCTGCCTTGCAAGCACTAAGTCCCAAGTTCCATTCCCGGTATACACACAAGAAAAAAAATCTCAGGTAGGGGGAGAGAGAGGTCATGTCCTACTCCTGTGGTGACAGTGACTGTCAGCACTACATTGCCATTGCTACTGGCCCACAAAACAAGGTTATAGGAAATACTGTATATGCCAGGATGGTCCAACTTGGAAAGAAAATTGGAGATCATTTGAAAGATATGATTTCCTGAAGTTCATTGGAATTTTCCTTTTGTTTGCTAGTAATAAACAGTTTTTTTTTGTGTCTAGGAATTATGTCCTGAGTTTTGAAAATTAAAATTCAGATAAACTTTGAGGATGTTTTACATTTATGATTTTGAAAGCATCAAAATTCATAGTTTTCTGTCTTCTTAATGTAGCTTTCACATTTGGTTATTCAGCTTACTATGGATTTCTTTGTTTGACTTATGGGCTTCTGACTTGTTTGTATCTGGCGCTTAATTTATTAGGGTAAAAGCTTAAACAGCTGTGACAGAGAATCACCAGATGCAAGGACTGAACAATATTAGCAGTTTCTTTCTTTTCTCACCTGACATCCCAGTGTGAGTTTTTCAGGTCAGTTTGCAACGTTGCACCCTCTGTGACTCCGCTCAACATGGTATATCCAGGCTCGCTGTGCTTTTTTTTCCTTGATGCAGCCAGTGGAGAGGGGAATGGTTGGAAGTTCTAGATCATAATTTTCCTTTTAAACAAGTAAGACAAAATTAGACATATCAGTTTTCTTATAGTCCATTGTTGGGAGTGTGGTCACAACTTGCAAAGGGACTGGTGGTGCATTTTCCTGCTGGGTGCCACAGTTTTAAGTATACCTCTCTTACTTTGAAAGGTGAGAGAATGGATTTGGTTGCTACACAGTAGTCTTTACTACAGTGGATAACAGGGGCATTATATAGTCAGATATTTATCTTACCGTGTCAAATGACCTGGCTGATGGGCTTTTTTCTTTGGATTGTAGATGAGCCCATGGATTCCACAATGGAAGATGCTGTTGCAGGTGACTTTGCATTAATAAATAAATTGGATATAAAGTGTGATCTTAAAATGCTCAACAGTGATCTCAAGGGGAGCTTAGAGAGTGAAGAGAAGAAAGAAAATAACTCCAAGAAAGAAGAATCTAGTGAATTAACCTACTCACAAGCTATAGAACAGAAGTTGGGTTCTGGTGAACCATCGCATTCAATTAAAGTTCATATGGTTCCTAAGCCAGGTAAGTGAACATTTGATAGCAAGTCATAATAGCTGCTTTTCTTTTTGCTTACCTCAGTGAAACCCGTGGTCCCTGCTGTCAGCCAAAAAGATGACCTATTTGTAACATCTGTTTTATACAGGATACAATCACCTGGATTTAGACAGACAAATTATATCTTTTTAAACTACTGGGTTTAAAAAAAAATCTTTAAAAACATTCCCCAAATAACATTTTAAGAGTTCCATCTCATCTCATTATCTAACAGACTTAGAGGTTTAAGAATCATGTGTTTCTGTCAGTGGAAGGTTTGGTGATAAACATTATTTTTGGCATTCACAGACAGTGTAAATTATAGGTTTTAGTCCACAATATAGTAATTGTGGAATTCTTTAGTTCATCATTAAATTTTTATGTAATTATAATAAAATTTAATTTAAAACTACCCAGATTTTAATGTTTAACTTCATCATAGTAAGGTAACAATATTTCCCTTTATTCTCCCTTATAAAAGAATTAGGCTTAAAAATGTGTCCAGCATTGTGGGTTTACCACATATAATATGTATTTGTATGATATTTTAAAAAATTATACATAAAATATGAAATTGGACAGTTTTTGATTTAGTTGTGTTGATTTATTTGAAATAATTCAAGGGAGAGAATTTTAGTATTATTTTAGATTTTAATGTCTAAACTATTTACACCAGTTAAAATGCAGAAAACTTTTTCTTTGTACTTTTTTATTAAGTTTTATAGAGTTAATTATATTGAAATTGATGTTAGTCTAGATTCTTTCCTAATTAATACAAATAGCTGAATGAAATACTATAAATGATTTAGAGAATTTCTGTTTTTATTCTCATGTGAGAGGTTCTTTTGTTTTTACTTTTTATTCTAAAACTAAATTAGTTTTGGCCAGGGATTTGGCTCAGTGGTTCAGCTGCCTGCCTCACAAGTGCAAGGTCCCAAGTTCGATCCTTGGTATCAAAAAAAAAAAAAAAAATTAGTTTTAGTTTGTTAAATGAAAAACCTTTGTTGTAAAGAATTTGAAATATAGTGGCCAGAGATTTAGCTCAGTGGTGCCACTGCCTTCCTCGCAAGTGCAAAATCCCGAGTTTGATCCCTGGTACCAAAAGAGAGAGAGAGAGAGAGAGAGAGAGAGAGAGAGAGAAAAAAAATTTGAAATATAGGGGAGTTAAATTCAATTGTATAATGAGCCTGTCCTCATTTGAAACACTTAATCATGATAGCCACTTTTGTTTTATTGGTACCCAAATCTAGTTCTCTTAGTAGTATATTTAAAATTTCTAGACATATGGTATCCTATATTTCAGAATTCATCTCTAAAAAATAAAAACTTTGAAAACCATTTACAACATTATTATACCTGATAAAGTTTCTTAATGCTATTGAATATTCAGTGTTCAAATTTAGTTTTTAAATATTTCTAGTGTCAAGATCCAGATAATTGGTCCATAAAATTGGTTGATGTATTTAAAGAATCCTTTTTTTTCTGTACATTTCCCTTCCATTTTCTGCATTTTTTACTTACATGGTATTACTTGTTGAAGGAAGTGAGTGTTTGTCTTGGTTGTTTCTTTTCCTTCTGTAGCTGGTTGATTATATCTGCAGTGCAGTTTAACCTGTTCTTCTGCGCTCCTGTAAATTGATCTTGGATGTAGAGCCTTTGATCAAAAACAGGGCTACATTCCCACCCGCCCTTAATCAGAGTGGAGGATTTGAAGATGGGTAATGGTAATGTTACTTCATGGGTGATTGTTCTTTCAGGAGATTCATAATGTCTGGGTGCCTCTCTTTTTATTAGTGCTAGTAGTGCCTATTTATTCTTTAAGCATTCTAATTCCATCATTTGATTCCTTATGTATTGGTTGGAATATTTTCATAAAGAAACTTCCCCTCATCTATTACCTTCCCATATAAACTCAAAGTAAAGGCAGGATAAGTTTTTGAATCCTTTTATTTATCATATTTCAAGGTAATATTTTCTAATAGTCATTAGTTAGGGCTCCTTATATCATTGTGAACATACTTTTTTGTATTCCATTTTTCCTGTGATAGCTTCTTTAAATTGGCTTCTGTATCTTTGATACAGTCTTTGTAGTCTTTGAGAACTTCCTTGTTGTGCTGTGACATGATGGTCATGGATATTCTTGTGCCTACATTTTTTTAACTAGCCCTCGTTCCAAATGATAGTGTGGATCACAGACCAGACATTATTGCTCCTGTTTTGGTCATTGTTTTCTAGGGCTTTTTAGTGAACAGATTTATGAGGTCATGACTTCATACTGATACTACTTTTCAGATTTAGGACAATAATATTTTTGTTTTTATTTTTTTTCTTCTGTATGGAGAAACCTGATTCACAAGGACATAAACAGTGATGGTGAACCTTTTAGAGCTTTCAGTGATAGCAGACAGCCCACTCAGGCACATGTGCTGTAGTTTCACCACCACTGAATAGGGGATAGTGGAATTAGACTGGAATATCACCCAGCTACCTTCTTCCTTATTCCACATTACATAAGAATTTTAGAGTAACAGTAACCTTCAACAATATGATACTGAAGCATGCATTAAACACTTTTTGTATAGTTTTTTTCCCCCATTAGGTTGTCTTTCACTAAGAATCTGAGACTATTTTAAACTATAGGAATTTTTGGATCTTCTTTAGAACCTGCATTTCCTTCTCCTGTTTTAAAAATGTTACCAATATATATTCCCTTGGACTTAATTAGAAATAATGCAGATATACTGTTGTCTGGTCAAGTTACTTGAGACTAGTCTAAAATCCTTGAGTTGCTGAACCTTTGTGGGTTCAGGATTGTTATGGTAAATGATTTTACACCGATCACCTATTTATGTTCTGTTGAAGGTGTTTATTGGTCTGGAAGATCTGTATTCTCTAAGCTGGAACCCTAATTTGTACTAAGTAAAAACGGTGGTATATTCATTTGGAGAAACATAATCAAAAGGATTGCTTAATCCAGTGAATGGATTGTACTGTGAAAATGGTGTCAGCTTTTATAAAAATACTGAAAACTTGTGCCTCCGACTTTACTCTATAGTTTTATAATTTGTTCATAATTTTAAAATTTTGGTAAAGAATGCAATTTTTAGTAACTATTAGAAAATGAAGAATTTTTTTTGTTACTATTTCTGAAATGATTTCTTAGGTAAAAACTTACTTCAGGTATGTTGATGCAAATATAGATAATAAGAAGTAAACCTGATAGAATGGTAGGATACTGTTTCATGAAGTATACATGCATTAACTCATTTATTCCTCACAGGAACTCATAGGTAAGGCTGATTATTATCTTTCTTGGATAGACAAGGAAACTTGCCCAAGGTTATCCACCCAAATGACAGAGCTAGTCCATGACCTCAGGTGGCTTGTGTCAAAGTATGTGCTGCTAAATTTTGTGTCTTTTAGAACAAATTTGAGAAAAGACACAGTCCCTGACCCAAAACAGTTAATTCTATAAGGCAGTAGGGTTAATGGTCAGTTAAAGAATCAGTCTTTTGGGCCCGGGATTTAGTTCAGTGGTGCCACCACCTGCCTTGCAAGCACAAAGTTGCGAGTTTGATTCCCGGTACCAAAAAAAAAAAAAAAAAATGAATCAGTCTTTTATTACCTGGGTTATTAGGTTTATACAAGGTCTTGTTTAATGGGTAAACATTTTTTTTTAACTTTTGTTTTTCCTTAGAAAATATTTTAGTGAAGTTGTAATGTGATCTTAGTGTGTATGAACTTCTGGCCTGTGTGAAATCCCTCCACCAATCTAGGCCTTAATTTTCTTTTCTATAAAAACTGGATTTCAAATACTTCCCCAAATTATAAATTTCATTGTTTTAATACATACATATATGTGTTAATTGGTTTTGTTTACACTAGTAGTTTATCTTAGTTTGTTGAAAAGATTTGTGTTTTATCTGTTTCTGTTATGTAAAATATTTTTATGTTTTGTACTCTGAGTAACTGAAGATAATGATACAAGATGTAAAAACTATTGTTATTTCTTATTTTATTATGAAATTTTATTTTTTCATAAAATAAAGACTGAGCGAACAACAACAACAACAAAAAACTGGATTTGCTAGTACTAGAAACTTTCTCATTGATAACTTGATTTATTGATGTAGATGATTTGTGAATTCTGTGTTTTTGGATCTTAAAAAGTAGCTTATTTCTTTGTTTCATTAATACCTTGTTAAAATTAATGAATAATTTTTATTATAGACTTTTTCATTTTATTCTAATATTATTTACTTTTAATAGGTAATATACTTTTTTTCTGAATGAGTTTATTGGTACTTTTTAGGTATACAGTACAGTTACATTCATCATTGGGATCTTGTACCTTTACATGACAGGGCTTGGTTCTCATTTTTTCCCCATACCCCTGCCCTCCCTTTACCCCCTCTTCCCTTCCCTATTTACAAAAACTTTTCTTCCCTATTGTAGACATTTTTGAGAAGAGAAAACTACAAGTCTTTTCTGTGTTTCTAAATCCAAGAAAAATGACTGTTAACATGTTGTCATACTTTTTCAATATTTTTCTAAGTACTTTAAATTTGTGTATACATAACAAGAGTTACATTTTTATACATTGTGTAATGAGAAATCCTCTAAATTTTCTAAAACATAAAAAATGGGCATAGATATTCTATTGTTCATCTGTTCTAAAAGTGTGATTCTTTAACCGGATAGCTTGAGTCTTCATTTGTGTTTGCCATTATCTGCTTTTATCACATAATTTTTCTCAGAATCAACTCTTGAAGATTTGGTAGATTAAACTACTACTTACTAAGGTTTGTGGTTTTTTTATTGTTAAAATTTTTGTACAGGGTTATTATCAGTTTGATATATGATCTTTTTTTTGGTACTGGGGATTGAACTCGGGTCCTTGTACTTGCAAGGCAGGCCACCAAACCACTGCGCTAAATCCCCGGCCCTTTGATATATGATCTTTTACTCAGAACAAAACTTTTTTTTTTTTTTTTTGGTACCGGGGATCAAACTTGGGACCTTGGTCTTGAGAAGCAGGCAGTGGAACCACTGAACTAAATCCCCCGCCCTTCAGAACAAAACTCTTAACTAGAACTGAAGTGAATAGTACCTGGAGAGACACAAAGATATGTTAATCTAAGCAAGGATTTTTTCATTAGAAAAATATGTTAGTCTGTTCTGGGATCAGTACTCATTGGTTTCTGAATATTTCTCTGTGGTTGCTAGAGAAGCAGAAGACATTTGATCTGATTATGTTCTTTCTACTTAGAGAATCAGAGAAGCGAATGGATATTATAAACAAAAGATTTTCAACAATAACAGTTGCCTTGGGATATTTCTGTGACTGTTTTCTTTCTCTGGCAACTCCTGCTTCTAAGGTGCTTGGGATGAATTTAGAGCTCTGTATCAGGACCCTGCGAAACATCTACCCACAAGCTAACCTACCTCATTTTGGAATTCTTTAGACTTTCCTGTAGTGTCTTCAAGACTTACGCAGAAACATTTCTAGGGCCAAATGTGATTGGTCTAATGTTTGGAAATTTCTTTTAGGCAAAGGGGCTGATTTGAGTAAACCTCCATGTCGAAAAGCCAAGGAAATCCGCAAAGAAAGGAAAATGTTAAAACTCACGCAGCAAAACCCAGCTGGAGAATTTGAGGGTTTCCAGGCTCAAGGTCAGCCTCCATCTTCATTTCCACCAAAGGCTAAATCCAACCAGCCCAAATCACTTGAAGATTTAATATTTGAATCTTTGCCAGAGAATGCATCACACAAGTTGGAGGTACTTTGGAGGGTTTTTGTTGTTTTGTTGTTTTTGTCTTCTGTTGGGTACTTTATTTTTTTGAAATTATAGTTACTGGTCGATGTTTTGCAGTTTCAGTAAGAAATAAAAGGGAATTGGATGTAGTAACATTTGTATTTACTAAGTTAAGTACTATTTTTAAATGTTTTTGAAAATACTTCAGGGGACTGACCATCAGAACAATTCCAGTTTTAACATGTTAGTAAGGAGGATGCCCTGGCTTTTTTTAAAATCCCTTGATTGAAATTAAGTAGTTTCTAGTCAATCCAAATTCCTCTGTTAATTTTGTATGTGTAAAATTCTTCTCAGCTAGGTGCAGTAATGTGTACCTGTAATCTCAGCTACCGGGGAGGCTGAGACAGGAGGATTGCAAGTTCCACGCCAGCTTGGGAAAGACTGTCTCCAAAAAAAAAAAAAAAATCTTCTCTAAAAACAATAAACATAATGATTTTGTCATATTTTCATATCTGATTAGTAACTGGTTGGACTTTGAATTTATAGTTTAATATCATCTAAGAATACCACTTAATGTTATACATAATACAAAAATTAACTTTAATGTATTCCGAACCTTCAGGAAATATATGTATTATCAGACATATATTTTATTTTAACAACTACTTAAATAGTTTATGAAGAAGCTTTTATCTTTTGATAAATACAAATACAAATAGTAATGTATTCAGGGAATCAGTGATACCTCATATAACAGTTCTAGAGCGAAAGGTATCAATTTTTATTTTTTTAATGTAATATGATCCAGGATGTATAGAGGTTTGTTATCCACTGGGTGTCACTCTGTTTACAGAAGAATTTTTGCATGGCACACATAGAAAGTTTCTATTATGCCTTTATTATATTACATTTAATTTGTTTCACTAATACATTTTAACTGGTTAGTAAATGATTAATGTTAAAATATATTAGCCAGGCCTAGGGATTTAGCTCAATGTTTCGACTGCCTGCCTTGCAAGCACAAGTTCCTGAGTTTGATCCCTGGTACCAAAAAAGAAAAGATGTTAGCTATTACTCTGTACTCATCCTCATTTTTAACTCAACTTCATCCTTATTTTACCTAAGAAAGAACCAATTCACAATGAGTTTGATAGTGACATCATAAGATTTGAATGCAGGAAATCAAACCTCAGACTATATTTTAAACTATGCTGTGAAATAAGAACATGTTATGAGTATTGTCTTTTTTACTTACAGAATAAAGTTATGTTTAGAATTAGTAATGATAAAAATGTCGAAAAGATAGAGTCCTATTTTCAGTCTTTGATGGTGAGTCATGTGCTAAAATTAAATAGTGTATATTTATGTTTGTGTCATAACTGCTGGAAGTTACCTGCCTGTTTATAATATAGGTAGACCTGTATAATTCAGTTATCAGAAGCAAGGCTAAGAATTTGGAGGGAATCCTCCTTTACCTTTCTAAGAAGTGTATAAGTGGCAAAAATTACTTTTGTTTAATAATTTGTTTTTTACTGTTAAAATATCTTTAATATTTGTTGAAACATTTTGGTTTTTGATTGGGGCTTACTGTTGTGTGTATTCCACAGAAATAATAAATGAATGAATTAATGAACATTGTTTTTTAACTCCTTCTGAAGGTGAGGGTGGTGAGATCATCTCCACCAAGTTCTCAATTCAAAGCCACATTTCAGGAGTCTTACCAGGTCTATAAACGTTACCAGATGGTTATTCACAAGGACCCACCTGATAAACCAACTGTGAGCCAGGTCAGCAGGCCAACTGTAATTTTTTATGCACACAGAGCTTTCCCTTCCATTTGTTATTATTGTATGAAATCTTGGTTTATTTTTGGTGCATTGTATTCATATTCAATCTGCAGCATATCTGAATAGAGATAGAAGTGTGAATTAATGGACATTCTGAAAGTGCGAATTTTACTTAGGGCTGTGTTAAGTGCCAGTCACATGTAATTTCAAAGTGGAAAGGAACATGTAAAGTTATCTTTATTTAAACTCATTATTTCTGGATGAATTTATTTGAAACTGAATAATAGAACTCTAAAATAAAATATCTATGAAAAAATTCATATTTTTATAGTAGACATATTTTTTCTGACTTGTTTAATATGTTTTATTCATTTTCGTAACAGCTAAATTATTCTTTATTAATGTATTACCCACTCACAACTGATCAGGACTAGAAAAGTAAGTCAGTAGAGTGTTTTGATAGACTTCCTCATATGCATTTAATGATCCAAGACAAATCTGGAAGGGAAAAGAAGCTTAAAATGCTTAATATAAGCAAAGATTGCAAAAGTAATGGCCATGACCATGATTAGGAACAGTATTAACTAGTGAGAGTTGACTAGAAAACCACATAGGTGGATAGAGAAAAAACTGTATAGTTCAGTTATCAGAAGCAAAAAAAAAAAAAAAAAAAAAAAAAAAAT